GGCCATACCGTGAACACGAAGCACTTGGGGGGGCTGTATTCTGCGAGTATTTCTGCGGGATTTGGCAGTTTAACGCCTTTGAAAAGCTGGTCGAGTTTTAGAAGTACCGAAGCCCTGCAGTACGCAGTCGTTTCAGGGGTCGGTGCAAGTCTTCGGAAAATCTTAATGAAGTTAATGTATCTCTGCTTGGGTTTTTCTGAGCTGAGTCTTCAGTTCCTTACATGTGCTTTATTCCCTGACGTACATTAATATTTCTCTCTCTCCTTAGATAGGTGTTCACAACTCTCTTTCTGGAGAAGAATTGTGGGAATTGTCATTGCTGTTGCTGTGATTTTACTCTTAATGTGGATTATCTTAAGTGAGTGCATTTATTTTAAAAAACTTAGCTCTGGGAAGAGAAGAAAACTGTGAAGAGTGTTCAGCTCTCCCACACACAGTCATGGCTGCCGTTACAGAGAGGTTAGAATCCAGAAAAGGAAAGTGAAACTAAATTGTGTTATGGCTTGTCCTTAGACAGTTGTTTCTGGTAGCATTAAACTGACTTAATTTTTAAAATTTTCTGCGGGATTTCATTGTACTGCAGCATGGCAAAATGCTGAGGAATGACAAAGCCATAAGCAGAGTTGGGGAGGCAATACTGACTTCTTGATTTGGCTCTGGCCTGTAGAGTTATTTTTACAACTGAGTACCTTGAACCAGAACCTGTTTAAGGTAAAATTTTATCTGCTTCACAGTAGATAACTCGTGTCTATGTTTGCACTGTTTGTCAAAGACGGCCCTCTGCCCTGATGTTCTCGCCTGGGCTGTCTCCGGTGTAGCTGGAGCTTTGCACTTGCAGAGGCTGGAGTCGGTTTTCTGGCACGTGCCCAGCATGTGAGCGTGTTATCGGGGATTACTGGACACACCGTAGCTGGTATAACCAGAAAAAACGAAGCCTGAGCACAATCCTTCAGTTGTATTATGTTCACCCATCTCCTGCTTAATTCAGTGCAAGTGACAGATATTTCTAAGCTGGAGGAAGCAGGCCAGAATTTGTAAATGTGTATACAACTGTATTTTAAATACGTAATGATGAGTAAGTGACGTTTTCTTCATTTCTTCATTTGAACGAAAGACCGACCTAAATTACTACAGCTGGAGCCGTGCCCTGATGACTGGCTGTACTACAAGAAGAAGTGTTACTATCATTCAGGAGCCATGGCAGATTGGAATTCCAGTCAGGAATCCTGCTCTGCTTACGGAGCTTCCCTTGCAGTGATTGACAGCCACCAAGAACTGGTAAGGTGTCCAGCGCCTTGAATTCGGTGCTATGTCTGCTGCCCTAACAGTTTCTGTAACTCTATCACTTGTTCCCTTGTAGAGCTTGAAACCCAGCATACTGTGTGGCAGACTTGTTTGTTGCGAGTCAGTACAACCTACAGACTTTTTCAGTGCGACGTGGTCTGGTCACTAAAATCCTCTGTAGAAATTCTGTTACTACCTTAGAGGGTATTTCAGAAATTTAAAAGGCAAACTATGTATAAATGAAAAGTAAAGTGTAGAAGAATATAAAAATGGAGTCGTGACTCCCAATTATTAATAAAGAAGGTGTGGTGGTTTCTTTTGAACTGGCAATTTATGTCGTTAGGCAATTTATCTTGTCCTCTCCCCTCACACCCTCTTGACGTTCATTCCCTCTCCAGGGTATCCAAAAGTACAGTCAACAGCAATTCCCACACTAAATATAACCTCTAAACTAATTTTGAGTTTACAGACCACGGATGCACATGTATGCATGTATGTGTTTTATCTTCTTGATACTCTTTAAGGACACAGTTCTTTTAAAGGGTGCTTTTTTTAGCATAACAAATGGATTAGTGGCCAGCTGAGGAACAAAAATGTGTTGTTATTTCTGTGCAAAATAGTCAATTTCTCTGTTTCCACAAAAGGCGAAGACTGGCTGTGGTTATATGATGCTGGGACCCGTGGTATTGAAAATACCCAGTTCGTGCTGTAGGTTCTACCTGTGGTTTTTGTTGTTTTCAAATCGTTTTTCTTTTTACTATGTTCTTTAAATCTCCTGTAGTGTCCTACCAATTCAGGGTGTTCTGTATGTCTGAGAAAAACAAAAGAAAATAGCACTACAGCAAATGTGTTTTCAGAGATGACTATAGGATCATAAAGAATTGAGAAAGTCTTTATTCATACTGCAGATGGTAAACTACGTGTGTGCCCTCGGATGTCCCGGAGTTTGGGTTTAAGTAGTCCCAACTGACTTTACGGTCAGGAATATAAGGAACAGGAAAACAGAACGAATTCAGACATTTATGATACGATTAGTGTCAAGAGTAAAAGGGTGAAAATTGGGAAGCTGGGGGATTTTAAATGTGTGACTTGAATTTGACAGAGACGCAACGTAACTGACATCCAAGGAATTACGGTGATATAACACAGTCAAGGCAACCTGTGTGGAGTCAGGCACTGTGTCCCCGCTAAATACATGTCCTTGTACTGAAACGTCATTCTTCTGGTGATACAGTGAAACCATTGTACTGGCGTGTAATGTGATATGGTATGTCTCATGACATACGTGGACATTTTTAATGACGGGGTGGGACAGGGTATAGGTGGATGGTCAGTAACACTCTGCGTGACTACCAGCTAAGTAACTGGGACTTCATTGACTATTAGTAGTAGATCTAGGGCTTCCTTTAGTATTTCATCTACTTAAATTTAGCAGTAAAACGTCAGTGACCTGGGAAAAAAAAAAGGCCACCATTGCATATTCTGTGACGCAGTTTATATCTATGCAGTTGTTATACAAAAAGCTATATAATCATAATCATAAAAAAACTAATAACCGTATGTCATTTTATTCTGTGTTTTGTCTAGGACTTTATAATGTATCGAATACGCACGATAGATTTCTGGATTGGGCTGCGCAGGAAAGGAAACAAATTCTTCTGGGTTAATGGAGAGTCATTTGACACTAACTTGTGAGTTTTCTTTCACATATACTACGCAGGAGGAGAGTCGGTAGCTTTTTTGTCCAAGTAGAAAAGTTATTCTGTGTTACCTATTCCACTGTAGATAAACTGGCATTTCTTACCAGAAGAGGGCTGTCATATGGCTGTAAAAATGCTAATACTATGCTAATAAAACTAGTTATGTCCCCAGAGAAGTGAGGAAGGGGAATCATTGCCTGCTTTTTCATGTGGTTGCATAGTGGCTGTTAGGTTATGCCTAGAGTAACTTGTTTCTGTACAATCCCACTATATGAGATGGATAACATTTGCCTTATTAGGAAGAATTACTGATGTTACACATTATAAATTGTTTGAATTAGCTTGCCCTGTTGGTCTTGCGGGGTTCAACACTCAGCCAGTATAGACAGGGCCTCCTAAGACAAACTGAGGTGCTCAGGACCACGTTGGAAGGTCACTGTGCTGGGTGGTTGTGCCTCAGAAGGCATCGCTTTTGCCCACTTTGTATCCCAGAGATTGGCTTTCTCTGCAGCCACATCCTGTGTATTCTGCAGAGACTCAGCAAAATCGGTGGGAAGAGGTGGCAGGGCCCCACTCTGCACTGGAGAAGTACTGCTGCCATGGGTCCCGCTGGGATCCTCTCTCTCCTGCTCTGGAGAATTGTGCCTTTTATGCTCACAACATGTTGTAGACTGTGAAGTACAAGCACATGTGGTACATCTCTGTGGGGATCAAAGCAGCGTGCTTTAATAGAAGGTGCATCAGAGCATCACCATGCGTTTCACGTGCATGTGAATCCTGATCCTCCAAATGAGAAGCAGGGCTCATTTTAAATCGTTCTCTAGTTTGTTCTCTGCAGTCTTTAAGACCCAGTGTTACAAAGAATAAGAAATAGGTCTTCTAATTTTTAGACCAAAGTTCTGCTCTAATTTTTATTTTTCTCTTGGCTTTTTAGATTTCATGTCAATATAACAAATGACGGAGACTGTGTCCATATAGGTTCAGCCTTCATCTCTACCAGAAGGTGCTCCTCATACAGGAACTGGCTTTGCACCATTGGTCAGTTTAATCCAAGACAAGCTCTTAATAGGGAACAGCTGGCTGTGTAAACACAGAGACTTTCTCCACAAGAAGTTGGAATTCAGAATACTGAAAGTCCTTGCTGTAGGAGGTCCACAGGGGCAAGAGGTGCTGTGGTGACGATCATATCCAGACTTCTCCAGGAGAAGCAATACAGGGAGTAATAGTGACAGTGAAGTGGCAGTACCGAGAGGAAACGATGATACAACGGCTGCTGCAAAGAACAGAAGTTGCTTCTTGGCAATACAGTTTCATTGTTGAAACTGCTGAAGGACATGGCCATGGATACTTTTCTTGGGAACTCTTCACAATTGCAAAACATATTTTTTTAAGGCAGCTAAGAACTTTGTCAGATAGACATGAAGGTCTCAGTGAAAATGTAATTCATAGTGAACCCAATGATGTGTTTTTCCTGTTTTCTGTGGAACTCGGTAATTCTTTGTCTGAGAACTTTCAGTTTGTCTTTGTGGTAAGCGGGTGAGATTTCACAAGGTGTTTTGACTTCCCTCCCCTTCTTTTTCCGTGGGGTTTTCAAATGTGATTGGTATGTAATGTCCAAGGATATAAATGGGAGCTTTGTAAACCAGGAAGGCAGATAATGACTAGGTCTTCTAGTGAATGGCACTGCTGTTACAGGGCATATGGAGTGGGACAAATTACAAATATTCTTCTCTATCCATCTGGACTGATCTGGAAACATGACTGCTACTGCCCAAAACTTCCCTCTATATGTGGCTGCAATAGGAAAGCTCCCAGACTGAGTCACGCCCAACTGTCGTTTTGGGAGGGCTGACGAAGTCAACTGGATTTAGAAGGTGAGAGACATGTATATCTAGCATGGAAAGGGTTCTAGGGCAGCTTAGTGAGGTGCTGTGGTGTTCATCTGTTCGCCTGTGCAGGGGGAAAAAAGCTTTTATTGTCTCCAGCACAGCTATTTTATCCTTTATCCTTTTATCCTATTTTATCGCCTTGTGTGGGCGAGGATAGTTTAACAGCCCATGGCATAGATGCACTAGAGCTAAATAGCATAGCCCCCTGGATTAACCTGTTTAAGTTCTTGGTAGGATGCCCTGAAAATGGGCAGTGGGGGCGTGGGAGGCTCACCCAGAAGATCTGTGGT